GGGGAGATAGGTCTGTATACGGCTGGTTAAGACAGGTCTTTTAATGAGGTTCTGGTCGGAGCTGGGCACATTTCAGAATATAATAGTTTAAGATTGGGGGACACAGAGAGGTAAGCATCTTGAAGTGAGTATTAAGTAAACAGTTATTTGATAATTAAGAAATTTGTTCAGTTTTAGCAACATATGGTTCAATCTTATGGATGTAGCCTGCTTTGGTTCATTGTCCTGACAGTTGAGGTGGAGGCACAAAGGGATGTAATGGGAAATGTTTGACTTGTGGCTTTGTGTGGAAGAGGTATTAAAAGGTATTAAAATTAAAAGGTTGCATTTACTTGACAAGATCTTGAACTAGGCTATACTACTGTTTTCCCTTTGTTAGAAAAGGGGTTAGAGAGAAATGACAAAAATATAGGGGAACAGAAATAAAAAATACATTCTTAAAGCTTAGGATGGAGAGGCTAGACAGTGATGGTTTCATGAAAAGACACCTTTTCATGAAAAAAAAAACTGACTAAATTGAATATGTATTTTGGAAAATTGACTCAACTTTCATTGAGCTGAAAAGGAAGATAGTATATTCAATCAAAGTACTATATAGATGTGCATAATATTGTGTTTTTAAAATATTTCAAGTATTCCTACCTTAACCTTCCTTTGTTAATGTACTTCACTCCTTGACCTGGTTCACTCATATGTCATTACCTAATATTAAACAAAATATGAGGTGACAGTTTTGAAATATACTTCCTGAAAGTAATTAATTAAATAGAGTTATGGGAATTTTAAAACTGGGATTTTCCACGAGTGATTATAAATCAATAAAGTAGAATAAATATGACACCCAAAAGACCAGATTTGAAAAACCAGAAAAAATTAAGATTAATAATGGCAGACATTAGATGCTTTTAAAATAATTTATGCATAAATCTGTATTAAATATTAAGCTAGAGAGTTACATTTGAATTTTTAAAAAATATCCTACTAATGTAACATTGACAGTAAAATTCACAAGAGAGTAGATCTAAAGGCATTTACAAAATCTCAACTTCTGTAGATTTACTCCAAGTCTAACAAAATTTACCTTTAAAACATAGTAAGGGTAATTTTTGTCCTCTCAAACAAGCTTCACTTTAAAATGTAAACTAATTTTCCTTGTTCAACCTCTTGTACAACCTCCCAGCTGCCTGGAGTTTTCTCTTGCTATGAGAGACAATGGGGCCACATGTTACTCTGTCTCTTCCATTGTAGGAAAAATACCATTCACACTAAAATTATTCTCTAATCTCTTCTTTCTCCTTAAGTCTATGGACTTCCGCACCGTTTAGAATTCTTCAGTATACTTCTCCCCTATGTGTGTGTGTGGCAGGGGCACTCATCTAGTGACTTTTTGCTATATTCATCTCCATTGTGCAATAGAAGAAGGGAAAGCCTTTTTCTCTTCATTTATTGAAAACTATTATAGTGATGATTTCTTAAGTCATGCTATTTGTCTCTTCTTGGTAATCTAGGATGGTAATGTTCATAAATACCAAGAAATGATACAGAATTGAGAATATCAAGAAAAATAACAGACAGGATTGGTTTGGGTGTACTATTCATTCAAGCAAGCAGTGGAGATTTAAGTGGAGATTAAGAAGACAGCAGACCAGAATCAGCTGACTAGATCAAGCAGCTTTGATGACTGGCGTTGGTGTTAGGCTGTGATCATATATTTGAGATAGAAAACAAAGTAAATATAGGAAAGAAATATGAATCAAAATAAATTTTATGATGTGTGTAAACCTGTTATTTCTTCAGCATCACTAGAAAGGACAACAGGTAAAATTAATAATAAAAGTAATGAAATGTACTTATAGCTGACAACAGGCATTCAGAAGGTTGTACAAAGAAGGAAAAGGGCCATCAAGGAACATGTATAAAGGACCCATGGACAAAGCCAAAAGGGGAAGGATTGAGGGTAGGAGGTGGGAACAAGTGGGGCAGGGGAAAGTGGTAGCAGGAAAATGGAGACAACTGTACTTGAACAATAATTTTTAAAAAGACTCATTTTATTTTATTTTATTTTACTTTTTTATAGTTTATTTATTTATTTTTAGAAAGGGGAAGGGAGAGAGAAAGAGAGGAAGAGAAACATCAATGTGTGGTTGCTTCCCACACACCTCACACTGGGGACCTGCTCCACAACCCAGGCATGTGCCTTGATTGGGAATTGAGCCAGCGACCCTTTAGTTCACAGATCGACGTTCAATCCACTGAGCCACACGAGCCAGGGCATTTTTCCAATTTAAAATTTCTTTTTGCCCTGGCTGGTATGGCTCAGTGGATTGAGTGCCCGCCTGTGAACCAAAGGGTCGTTGATTTAATTCCCAGTCAAGGCACATGCCTGGGTTGCAGGCCAGGTGTTCCAGTTCAGGGTGTGCAAGGCGCAACCACACATTGATGTTTTTGTCCCTTTCTTTCTCTCTCCTTTCCCCTCTCTCCAAAAATGATCAATCAATCAATAAACCAATCTTAAATTTTTTTTACAAGGCCTTATTTTAAAGACCACATAGGACTATCTTTCAGTCTATGCAGTCTATACATGTCTCTGAGAGTAACTTGGAAGCATTGTTTCTTTTACTCCTTTCTTAAAACACCATTTGTTTTTCTGTGTACCAGTCCCTGGTTCAAACATGTCACTGTCCCTGTGTGATTAAGGTCAAGAACTATTGGCTTTCTGTGCCATCCTTGACTCTAATAATAGGAGAGTCATACTGAACTCTCAGTCTTCTGAATGAAACAGAGACAGAAAGAAAAACAAGCTTTATTTTTTCTAGTACTGATTTCTTCTCACCGTATAATTTGTAGGTGTTACTATTTATAATATTGAAATAACTGGAAAACAGGTCAGAAAATCTTGCTTTGCCAAGGTGTCAGATATTTCTATATAATATTTATAACCCTCCATTGCAGTATACATGTATCATTACACAGATGAAGACATTCAGGATCTGAGTGGCTGTAATTTATGTAACCTGATTCATTACCAATAGTATACTAAATCCTCTTCAATACTGCCTTTCTTCCAAGAAGAGCAGGGGTATTGGGATGTTTAATACCATAGAGAAGGTTAGTAGGTAAGCCTGGAAAGATATTATAATTATTAGAAAGAAAACAACTCAAGATTGCTTTCTGGAAGTTTTCCCTCAGTTTGATATTTTTAGACTGAAGTATTCCTAAGATTTAATTTGCTGATGAATGTGATTGAATTTAACTAAAAAAATATATAAAATCAACAGCTGTCCAGAAACAATTTAATTATTTTAAATGAAAACATCATTCTTCTAAAGTTGACAAAGTAGATACAATGGTATGCTGTTTCAGAAATTTTGTGTTTTCATAATCCTGATGTTTATCACATTTTATCAGTATCATTTTTATTTGATCTTTATTGTATTTTTTTCTACTACCATTTAGTCCCTTTATATACCCATCCCAGCAATCACCACACTGTTGTCCATGTCCATGAGTCCTTTGTTCTTTTTGCTCAATCCCTCCACCGCCCTCACCACTCCTCACCACTGGCTGTCATCCTGCTGTCAGTCTATGAGTCTGTCCTATTTTCCTTGTTAGTTCAGTTTGTTCATTAGATTCCACATAAGAGTGAAGCCATATGGTACTTTTCTTTCTCTGACTGGCTTATTTCATTTAGCATAATATTCTCCAGGTCCATCCACACTGTTACAAATGTTAAACTTTTCTGCTTTTGTACTGCTGAGTAGTATTCTATTATGTAAATGTCCCATAGTTGTTTTATCCACTCATCTACTGATGGACACTTGGGCTATTTCCATATCTTGGTGATTGTAAATAGTGCTTCAGTGAACATAGGGGTGCATATGTTCTTTCAAATTAGTGTTTTGGGTTCCTTCAGCTATATTCCCAAAAGTGACGTTGCTAGGTAAAAATGCAGATCCATTTTTAATTTTTGAGGTATCTCCATGTTGTTTTCCACAGTGGCTCTATTCCCACCAACAGTGCAAAAAGGTCCCCCTTTCTCTACATCCTCACCAACACTTGTTGTTTGTTGATTTATTGATGATAGCCTTTCTGACAGGTGTGAGATGTTACCTCACTGTGGTTTTTAATTTGCATTTCTCTAAGGATTAGTGTTGTTGAGCACCTTTTCATATGTCTATTAGCCATCTTTACATCAGTGGTTGTATCTTTATTTGGCTTTTAAAATAAGGGAAGTTTCATTATACTGATATGCTGGTAAACCATATGAATATAAAAAAAACTTTTTAAAGATTTTTAAAAGGAGGCATCACTGTTTAGCATGTAGTACATGAATATAATACATTTATTGAAAATCCCATCATCATAAAAATTTGGAATTAATTAGTGTAGCTTGAAATGTCTTCATTTTAGAATGTTATGCACAAGAAGAGCCTTATCATTAGAAATGTTTTATCTGTGATCACACAAACCAGATAAAATGCCAGAGACAAAATTTCAACCCAAAGGAGAAAGAGGTTGAGTAGGAATTGATAGTAGTAAGACTGGATACTTGAAAAAGCCTGAATGATGGTGATTCAATGTGAGTTGATTTAGAACTGTGTATTTATAGTTAACTGGCAGCACTTTCTGAAAGTTTAGTGTGATCATTAATCAGTAACAGCTTACACAGAAAACTGGAGGCACTTCTCATTGTTCCGTCTTTGTCATCTCAGAACAGGAAGCCAACTGCCCATATTTTAATTATTTTTTATTTGTTAAACCAGGAATCTGAGTGGCTCTCTCACTAACCTTATTTTCATTGCACAATAGACCACAGATTAGGTGGGCTTCCATATCATCAAAAATGATTAATTTGGACCAAGTTTAGAAATCTGCTCAGGTTATTAAAGGCTAACCATAATCATTCTAATGTGTCTGTTTATTACACACATTTTTCCTCTACAGCTATTATATTAGCTATTCAATGTATTTGTCTATTTTTAATATCTTTATTGTTGCAGATACAGATGTGGTGTATAAAAGCGAGAATGGACATGTCATTAAACTGAATATAGAAACAAATGCTACCACATTATTATTGGAAAACACAACTTTTGTAAGTAACGAACAATTAATTATTTATGCATTTCGGTATTGTTTAGAATATTCTCTAGGTGTACATATCTTTATTTTCTTCAGCTGTATCCTTTGAAAAGAATTTTAGGTGAATAGTTAGGGCTGGGATCTCATTAGAATCAGTATATATATTGATGGAAAATACCCGGGGGGCCATCTGCTTCATTTTCTTCCTGTTGAGCCTTTTTAGTAAATAAGTCAATATTTCCAGGAATAATAATTCCTTACAATTAATACTTCCTCCAATATTTTCATGTAAAATTAGTCATATAAATTCTAAGATTTTTTTAAAATGTCAGTCCAAAAAGTTATTATTAGCTTTTTCTCTCCCTCTACTTTTCCTTCTGTCTGAATTCTTTCTACTCTGTTGTGGTTTTCTGGATGAAGCAAAAGGAAGCCTTTCTAAAATTAACCTTCTGTAGGAGATGAATGGTTTACTTTTAAAATTCAATATTCTATCAATATTATTTCCTACTCCAGAATCATTATTTAGTGTAATTGTTCAAACAAATGAATGTATGTATTTTTTCTTAGAAAGAAATATAAATGTTGCCATTTCTGTTAAATTTGGCCATCTTAAAATTAGGTTTAGTTATGATTACCTAAGAGTAAATGATAATGATCTGTAGCAGATCTTCAAAATCTAGCCATAAAATACCACTGAACAGTTATTTGCTCACTTTTCTATATAACTAAAGGTTCAATACATTGCCTATTAGATAAATTTGTGATATACACAAAACATTGTATAAGGCCTCAGGAGACCACAAATAAAAGCAATGTGTAAATCATTTTTAAAACTTATTTCTTCTTGTACATTTGGAAATCAACACTTAGTCTTCATGTGTATTTTGATGGCCAGGTGGAAGAGATGGACTTAAGAGGGGTGTCCAACCTTTTGGCGTCTCTGGCCATACTGGAAAAAGGGTTGTCTTAGGCCACACATTAAATATAAAAACCCTAATCAAAACAAAAAAATCTCATAATGTTTTAAATAGTTTATGATTTTGTGTTGGGTTAGTGTTCACAGCCATCCAGGGATGCAAGTGGCCCACAAGCTGTGGGTTAGACACCCTGGACTGAAACATTCTGCTGTTTATTGTTTTTATGTGTTAAGAGAAAACAGTCTTTGCAAATCGTGAAGTGATTATATGGGTTCATATACTTTAGCAATTAGGTTATTACTAACAGAGGGTAATGACATTTTTATTTTTAAACTAATAAAGTAATTCATGGATATTAAAGGAACACCTATTCTAGATGCAACTCTTTATAGCATTTGTGGAATGCTGAGTGCATATAAGGCATTTGCTAACTTTTTAAGAATATCATTTTCTTTATGGGAGATAATACTAACCCTCATGAAAAAGTTTAATAAGCAGTATAGAGCAGTCTCTATTATGTCTTAGATGGTCCTCAGTGATACTAAAGAAGAGGCTAAGGAATCACTGAGAGTTGCTGAGCTCAGTGGACAGGAGGCATAACAGAAGAGGTGGTAATGAGTAGAGGGCATAGTAATTGTTTGCTGGTTAAAGTCACTGTGAGTTGATTTTCAATAAAATTTGTTAAGAGAAAAAATTAAATGCATTTTCAACTTTGTGCCCTTTATTATAAAGTATCACTTTTAGGGGGTAGTGTATGCTGCCAGTGGCCAAGCATTTAAGGTAGGTATAAACACTCAGTACCTCACTGAATATTTGGTTATGTGACTGTTCTTTAGTGATTATTCCCCTTACACAGGTTAATGAGGTCTTCCCTGTGGTCACAATTTATGTATTTTTTTATTGCCTATCCCTTGTTTTTTTTAGCCTCTATGATACATCAAAAGAAACAAAAACAAAACTTTTGCTTATTATTTTATTATCATAGTTTTATTATTGGTCCTTCACACCACCCTCACATCATCTCATTGTAGTTTTCTTCATAATGCCTATTAACACCATTTTATTTTTGTGCCTGTGTGTTTAATCTTCTTAAATCCTTTTAAGATTTTTCTTTTCTCTTCTATGTGGGTTATGACTCTTAATTACCACAAAGTCTTATTTAGCAAATATTCTAATTCACTGATACTCTAAGATCCATAGATTCCCTAAAGACATTTATCTCACAACACAGATAATTAAGCAATTTCTAAGTCCTAGAAGTGTCAGACTTCAATGGGAGGGTAAACAGATAAGTGTGACATGTATTTGCAACCACTTAACCCAAAACTGTAAACCAAAATAAAAATTACCATGATTCCTGATGATTTCTGAGGAACTCATTTAATAATTTCCTCCCAATTCCAAGATAGCATTATTAAATAGAGTTGTGTTTTTACAGCTTATGTTAGGCTAAAGTCTGGATTTATGTTTTATCTGAGCCCTTTCTTTTAGAAAAAATCTCTTGTCACAGCTTAAGAGTTTTATTTGTACTGCAGTTTTTCATTGAACAATTATCAATATTCTAATTGTAATCGTAGTTCATTGAATCTGATTATTCTAAAAAGCTTTATAATAAAAATGTGCCAAGTTACCTGCAAAAAAATCACATTATTGATAAAAATGTGATAACAGATTGTCTATTATTAACAAGACATATTTTGCTGTCAATTTATTTCAAAAATGAAGATAACATCACATTGTCATTTCCATGCTTAAACACATTTTAAATATAGTGGGTACTTTTAGCTATGTAATTGTGGTTAGCAGACTCTGAAACAATAATAGCCATGGCTGTCAAAAATAAAATACAAGTAAAGTATTTTCCTGAAATAATTTTCATAAGACATTCTTTGGGATTAACCATAGGTGTATTTCTAATGAAGGAGGAAATTAAAGGCTATATAACTTTTTGAAGGGGAATTATATAAAAGAAGTGACTTAGCTCAAAACTGCTCTAGTCTTTTCTAACAGTTTGAAAATGCTGTCTCTTACAGCCAGAGCTATTTCAAACAAAATCGCACTCACAATGACATAATGAGGAAATGTTTCACAAGTATTAACTATTGTTCTCTTTCTGCTGTCAGTAAATTGAATTTCACCAGTTGTCTTGGCAGAACATACAAGCAGCCATAAAAAATTGTATCAAATCACTTTTTCAAATTAAAATGGAATTAGAAACATGAGTTCAAGCCATGTACTTAAGCTTTGTCCATGATACGAAAAAAAAGTTTGTGTGCTAATATGGAAAGATATACAAGGTCAGTCCAGAAGGTATACAGCCATGTAATATAAAAAATAGAGACCCTTATTAAAGAACATACAAGATACAAGGAACATTGTACATATGACAATGATGCTTCAGTCCCCTTCAAGTAGGCACCTGGGGACTTCACACGGTTCTCCCAGTTGCCATCAGCTGCCCCATCATATTTTTGTGAATCTCATCAATGGCCTGAAATATATTTCCTTTCAAAGGTGATTGTAGTTTTGGGAAAAGCCAGAAGTCACAGAGCACCAAATCTGGGCTGTAGAGGGCCTGAGTCATCTGGGCGATTTTCTGTTTTGCCAAGAAATTCTACATGAGAAGTGATGTATGAGTAGGTGCATTGTTCTGATGAAGCTGCCAATCACCAGTTGCCCATAGCTGTGGCCTTCTGAATTATGAGAATAGTTTCTGAGGAGGAATGTTCAAGCTTAACACAAAATTTAAGGCAGATTGATTGCTCTACTCACTGAGTCATTTAGAATGCAACAGTCACACAGTACAAATGCTCACTCAATGTCGTCTACAGAACTTACTGACTCTTACAGTGAAGTTGTCACTGATTATGTGTGTACATTCCAGCCCCCTATCTTTGGCTGCTAGGTTACATCGATGTCACAAACACCATTCTGTTTATGTTAATAATGGTTGGGTTTTTTTCTGGACAGACCTTGTAACAATAGATGAGAATCATACATCTCTTTGTTTCTGAAAACCTGTAAGCTTTAAAAACATGATATATATATAAATATCCTAAAATAGAGGGAGGAAATTTATGTATGGCAGCAAAAGGATTCCAAGGAAAATGTTAGCTACATATTTTTTTGGTCCAACTCTCTATTTATAGGTCATTACATGATAGTAGGTTTAACTATAACCAGGGGATATTTATTGACTTACCATGCAGTGATAGCATTAGTGGCTTGCATGCCATCATAATATTCTTATTTGTTCATTTTTTATTTGTCCTGCTACTGGATATATGCAGGTTAGGGGGTACATCCAACTCTCTGTACAACCACAAAATTAAGGAACTTATTTTCTAATTCGCATTTAAGTAAATAGGTACCTATGAAATATTATAGGAGCACAAGTAAAGAATTGCTGGATAAAGGCAGCTAAAATTTCATCTTTTAAAATTTGAAATAAAGAAAGATTATTACATATTTCTGACTAATCAGTGGCCTCACATGCTATAGTCATAGAAAATTTGCTGTTTTTCAAAAGACCTAGACTTAGCAGTATATATTAGTAACCCAGTAGTGAATGACATTAGTAGTGTAATGAATATTGATTAACCATTGAAGTCACTGGAACAGTACACATATGCATGTTGCTATGTCCATGACAGTACAGTTTTTTTCTTTCTCTAGATCTGTGGTTCTCAGTCTGGATACCTTTGCCCCTAGGAGACATTTGGCCACTTGGGAGACATTCTTGGTTGTTATGGCTGGAAGGAAGGGGTTGAGGGAATCTAATGAGTAGACATCAGGGATTCCATGAAGTATTCTACAATGCTCAAGACAGCTCCTCATGACAAAGAATTAAACAACTGAAAATGACAGTGGTGCCAAGTTTGAGAAATCCTGCTTTAGATGGAGACACAAAGGAAACCATGATGGTTAGAAGGTACTTTCTCAAGGTGGAATCAAAGCAATAGCTCTCCAATGAGAAATTAACAGGGAAAATCTTAAAGTGTGGTTTATAGCTTCCTTATCTGAAGACAGTATTCCTCCCTCCTTCCCTCCCCTCCCCTCCCTTCCTTCCCTTCCCTCTTCCCTTTCCCTTTCTTTT